AGTGTAAGAGTAGCTACCCAGCTGTTACTGTTAATCGGATTGGTGTTGACAAATTGGAAGAACTGTTGATAAGACAGTACAATCAGGATTTCAGTGAAACTGTCTCTAATGACAAAGAGGAGATGTCAATAGAAGAAAGAAAGTTCATGGAAATAATGAAAGGTTCAGTACAACTTAAAAATGGCCACTACAATATTAATTTGCCTTTCAAGACACCCCATGTAAACATGCCAAACAACTTTACTGTTGCTAAACAGCGTGTCAGTTCACTGAAAAGGAGAAGGATGAAAGTTACCACAAAGAATATTCAAACTTCCTTACTGAAGTGATGACAATCACTTCAGTGATGACTTTGATTGATGACAATCAAAACAGATTTCCAGCAGAAGTAATTGACACGGTCACAAGAAGTTTTTATGTGGATGATCTTTTGAAAAGTTTGCCTTCTAAAGATGCCACTATAATGGTCAAGAACCTCACAGCTATCTGCAAATTGGGAGGTTTCAATCTCACCGAGTGGATCAGCAACAGTCGTGAGGTGTTATTGGTAATTCCAGAAGAACATAGATCCAAGACCTTCAAGGAGTTGGATCTTGACAGAGACAAATTGCCAGTTGAACGGGCTCTTGGACTACAATGGTGCATCGAGACGGACACCTTCAAGTTCAAATTTAACATCCGAGAACAGCCACACACAAGACGTGGGATGTTATCTATGATCAGTTCCGTCTATGATCCTTTGGGTTTCTTAGCCCCCTTTACAATCCCAGCTAAGATGATTTTGCAGGACCTGTGTCGGTTGAAATGTGGTTGGGATGATCCAGTACCCCAATTCTTTCAACAGAAATGGAAAAAATGGTTGGAAGATCTTGAAAGAGTGGAAAGTTTCAAGGTCCACAGATGCTTCAAACCGAAAGACTTTGGATACACAGCATCTGCTCAAGTGTATCACTTCTCTGATGCCAGTGAAGATGCGTATGGAACTGTTACATACGTCAGGTTGCAAAACAAGAAGAACAAAGTACATGCTGCTTTCATGCTTGGCAAAGCCAGGGTGTCTCCACTAAAACAAGTGACTATCCGTCGCTTGGAACTAACAGCCGCTGCGCTTGCTGTTAAAGTGGACAAAAAGCTACAATCAGAGCTACAGCTTCGTTTGGAGAAGTCACAACTCTGGACTGACAGTACATCAGTACTAAAATACATCAAAAATGAAGACAAAAGGTTCCAAACATTCGTTGCAAACAGAATATCAACCATTAAAGAGGCATCACACATTTCACAGTGGAGATACATTCCTACAGCACAAAATCCAGCAGATGACGCCTCAAGGGGACTGAAAATTGAACATTTGGTTCAAAGGAGATGGATTGAAAGTCCAAAGTTTCTGTGGAAACCAGAGGATGAGTGACCAGCGCACGTCTTGGATTTGGACATTGCTGAGGACCCGGAAGTTAAAAGGAACTTCACAGTAAATGCAATTGTCACTGAATATGATTCAAGGCCCACGCATCAACTGATTACTCACCTTTCCAATTGGAAAAAACTGAAAGTTGCAGTAGGTTGGATTCTCATGCTGAAGATGAATTTGCTGACTTTAAGTAAGAAAGGGAAGCAGCTGATTACTGCAAGAAAGGCAAAGATGGAACGAGGAAAAAAGAAATTTTTTACCTGGAAATATCGTCGTCGTCGTCGTTGTTGATTCAACAGCGCCTCGTGGATCATGGATACTTGGAAAGATACAGACATTTCCTGATAGGAAAGGACTAGTGCGTTCTGTTTTTCTGCAAACCAAGACCAGCATAATTGAAAGACCAGTGACAAAGATTTGTCTGCTTTGTGAAGCGACTGGCGTGTAAGAATAATGTTGAAAACCCACAACCATGTTTTCAAGACATGGAAATATAATTATCGATTGGACGTTTTTATGAAATTGACTGTTTAAAACAGTACATTTTTTGTTTCTAATGTAATGGCTCCTTACGTAAAACGTATAAATAATTGTTTTGTCTACTGCCAGAACCAATTAGGGGCCGGTGTGTAAGAGTTTTGTTTTTGTACAACCTCCCACCACATGGGGGCGTAGTGCCGGTGTGATTCAGGCCACAGGTAATATAATTAGTGGGGTCATTGGACACAGGTTGTTGGTAATAGGTAGAAGCAAACAGTTTTTGACTGTGAAGATTTAACAAATGCAAATGTTATGATTTATTGGTATGAGGAGAAAATGGATAACTGAAGAGAAAGTGGTGAACTCTGACTATGTGAGGAATAAAATGCCTATATTCGAAACTGGACTTTGTTATTTATGGCACGCGTCAGAACAAGCATTACAGCAAACGTAGTGACTTTTTTATTGGGATTTTTAACGGTCACTACAAGTATATCTCTTTGATCACTTCCATAATGAGAAGATGTCCTCCATCACACAGACCTTCTGTGTGCTACCCTCATCTAGTTTAGCCCGCGAGCCAACGCGATTTACCGGGGTTTGGCCATTGCCGCTACGGTACATTGGCAATTCTTGGAGCCATAGATGAGAGTTGGGCCAGTGATGAAGACCAGTGCCAGTAGTCCATCCAAGGGATTTGGCTGACTGCTGAAACAAAGGTACAAATTCTACCACCACACCCATACACCCCATGTATCAGTGGTTACTGCTACAAATATCAATTACTTAGAAGTTGTTTTTCTTTAAACCATCAAAATTGTGCAAAATTTAGAAAATATTTAGTTAGAAGGCTAAAGGTGTAGCATATTTAGCTCCAGAGTACCTAAAAACATAGAAATAGACACCAAGATCATTCAAATCGGTGAAAAACAAACAAATTTCGGGAGGCCCAATTGGTGGCCATCTTGAAAAATAGCCACCATCTTGGATTTTTGAATGGCCAATCAGGCAGATTTGACCAGATACCTCTGGAGAACAACTCCAACAAATTTCATGCTTGTATCATAATTTGCACGATTCTTATTAAAAATTGCTTTGATCTGCCCCACTATAAGGATTTAATTTAATCAGATAATCCTAGTGATTTATTTTGTCTTGCTGAAACCTGGCTGTGTAATGAAGAATACGTCAGCCTAAATGAATCAACTCCTCCAAGTCATACCAATACTCACATTGCTCGAGGCACCGGTCGAGGAAGTGTAGTAGCAGCCATCTTTGACTCAAGCCTATTATTAAACCCTAAACCTAAACTAAATCATAACCTCTTTTGAAAGCCTTGTTCTTAGTCTTTCACACCCAACCTGAAAAACACTACAGCCAATTCTATTTGTTAGTGTACCGGGCCCCAGGTACTCTGGCGAGATAGTCTTAAAACATTTAAGAAGGCCCTCAATCATGCCTATTACTCATCATAATTAAATGCCCAGTGTGTAGGATTTAGTGGCATCTAGTGGTGTGTTGCAGATTGCAACCAACTAAATACCCCTCTGTTCACCCCTCCCTTTCCAAATGTGTGGGGAAGCAGGCTGGCCTTCAGGTAAGGATAGTTATCTTCAGGATTTTAGTAGAACTAGTAGCTACTCTAGCTACTCAATACGTTTCTACATGACTAAACAATTGGGCTTCAAAATCTGTACAACATACAACATCCTTTGTCCCAGGACCCTCACATCGGAACAGGAAAAACTCCCCAAAAACCCTTTAACAGGAAGAAAGGAAGAACCCTTCAGGAGAGCAACAGAGGAGGATCCCTCTCCCCGGATGGACAGAAGTGAGATAGATGTCATGTGTACAGAATGAACAACATAACAGAGTTACAACACGTTCAATGCATATGATATAAATCATACATACAATGACAGAAGCAATAGCAGTAGTAGCAGCTGAGAAACGAGAGTCATGTTCAAAAGGTTAGCATCTGCACCAGAGTCAGTGAAGGCTGAGCGTGAATCACCTTTCCAAGTTCATGATCCGGCTCACCAGCGCCTTCTGGATGTCTTTTACTGGACAGGAGACAAAATGGCTGTCCTGGCTGCAGTACTAACACCTGTTTTCAGGTCACTAGTACAAGCAAACTTGAACCCAAAAGTTAGAATGTTATCAAGAAGCTCATGATGTCACTACTACTGAGGTCCATAGAAATACATGAGTAATAGGCTGCTCTGGGCCCGACTATCTCGCCATATTAGCCGAGATTCTTCCAGATTGGTGGAACACCATCCTGTCAAGTTTTCATGATGTTTGCTTTAATTTACGGGTTGGACGGTTATACAATGGAGCTAACTCGTTTTATTATCTTGTTTTTTAGAGGGGCAATAAAGTCGAGTGTCAATAGCAGTAGTAGTAATAGTAGTAGAAGTAGCAGCAACTGTAATAGTAGTAGTAGTAGTAGTAGTAGTAGTAGTAAGAACATACAGTGAGTGTTGGGGGCTTTTATTTACACAAAAAAAGCCTCATTCTCAGGTTGCTTTGAAGGTAGTTCGTCAAAGGGACCCTTTTCTGAAAGGGTGGGGTTGAGTGAGGGGGAGACAGTGGACGGAGGTCTTGGGTGCTCAGGTGAACCACAGAGCGCATGTGCATTATCTTGTGCGGCCATTCCAAACCTGTGGGAATCGGTTTCCAGTCATTATGGGAGGTACCTTGAGAAACTACCCCTCCTGTTATGTTGCGGGTCAAATTGACCCATTTCGAAGTTTGAAAATCTAGAAAATATATTTTAAAGTACTTTTTCTGTATTAAACTTCTTCTGCTTGTCTTAATTAGTGTAATCGACCTAAAAAAAAAGGTTAATATCATGAATTTGCAACCCCCCCCCCCTGCAGGTTTATATTACAGAGATGATGTTCGGGTCATTTTGACCCGGCAGTGAAAGTGGAGGCTACAAGGGGTCAGAAGGGTCAAGTTTAGACCATTTCTTTCTTTGAAAATGTAAGACAAAGTATTTCTTACTCCCTCCCACCATGTTTCACCCCATTTCTCTCACACACACACACACACACACTCTTTCTCACTACCCGACCCGTGCGAGAAATACAGATACTATTTTGACTTTGGGACTTCGGGAACCTTTTATTTCCTCGAGGGAAAACTCCGCTCACACTTAGCAGGGGAAAGCAGGGTGAAACATACAGAATGGTTGCTTGGGAGTCCAACCAACATTACACTCTGCAGATACATACAACACAGCAGCTTACTGTAGGACAACATGAGCAACAGAGACAAAAGGATGAAAGCCCTGGAGGCTCTGGAGCACATCCTTGATCACGACAGTGAAATAGAGGAGGATGTGTCTGAAGATGAAGACCATCTTGAGGTCAATTCAGATTATAAATCCTTCCTTTAAAGGGAAGGATTTAAAGCAGCAGGAATGCTGTACATTAGGTAGGTTTGAAAACATTAAGTGCAGCATTTTATAAAAAAAAAAACGACATTACATTACAGTCATTTAGCAGACGGTTTTATCCAAAGCAACTTACAATAAGTGTATTCAACATAGGTATTCAAGAGAACTACTAGTCAAAATCAAACACTTAGTCAGTAATTCCACACCCAAGATGACAGAGGTTCCTATCTTGTATTCCAGCAATGAGACCTGCCTTGTTTTGCGTAATATGGAGCAGCTAACTTACTTAAACTACTTCTTAGTTTCACTCGTAGTGGAGAGTATTGGTGTTTCATAATGGTATGAAGAGGCTTCTCAAACATGACAACAACCAAATTTCAGGTAAAATTGCAAATACTTTGAAATAGAGTATAAACTGGAGTGATACTGTTGATATTCTACTTAGTTTATACTACTCATAACTAAATAAATACCATTACTGCCAACCAATACAAACATTCTGTTTGGTAAGATTCCAGTAAAATACAAAACACTGTGCAGAGCAGTAGCATGTCACATGATCATGTGCAGACGTGGGACTTGCACATCTTTAGGACCTAAGAGCACATAAGAGAACAATACGTAGCATCAACAGTCAATCTAGAGTGCATGCAGAGCTACTCTGATGAAGACTCATGCTGGAGAAAAAGCAGACAGTCTGTCGCAAGGTGGAGTGTTCTCTTGCACCGCTGTGTGCTGATCCACTACTAGTGTGGGTTCACATAACTAATAATGGTCATGGACGTTTTGACATGTACCATACAGCCACAGTGTGTTTCCCACTTAAGATGGAAGGTGAGGTGTCACAGAGACTGGTGGAAGATTAGAGGTCAGTTTTCAGAGGAGTCGGTCTCTTCCGTGGAACCATCGCTTTCCACCTCCATCTTCCTCCTGTGGTGGATGTTCCTCCTGGGGGAGGCCCTCCTCTGCACCTCCTTCAGCCCCCCCACCGCACTGCCGCTGCTGTTGCTGCCAGGACTCACTGAGATCTGGGCGATTCTGGACAGCACCGGAAAAAGGAACGAGTTATTAAGAGAAGAGAGGAAGATAGGAGAACAACACAGCAAAGAGGACAGGAAGTAAAGGCCAGAGACAGCAAAGAGGACAGGAAGTAAAGGCCAGAGACAGGAAATGAGGACAACTAAATGAGAAAACAGCGAAAGGAAAGAACAAGAAAAGCATGTCTGTTAAAAAAATGTGAGAAAACCTAAATGTGTTTGTGTATTATGATACTGTCATCCTGTGCAGTGTACAGTAAACTGTATGTGCTCTCACAGTTTGTCCAGTTCCTGGTCCATCTCTGGATCAATGAGGAACTCTGCCATGCTGGGTAATGCTCCTGTAGAAAGAGGGACGAAAGACAACGTTCAGCTTATTACTGCATATTCCCTGAATGTGATTGAATGGAATTATTCTGTGTCACTTTGTCGCCAACCATGCAGCTCTACGGAGCTTTTCAGCCTCTTCTAAACTAAGTGAGCTGCTAGCTGGTGAACACAGTGGAGGATCTAGCTGCTAGCTGGTGAACACAGTGGAGGATCTAGCTGCTAGCTGGTGAACACAGTGGAGGATCTAGGAGCGAAAGACAAAGATTTATTTTTTAGGAATTTTTCAGGAGAGATCAAAATAGAACTAAAAGAGTGATCGCTGGACTTACAGTGTATTCATGAGATGAAAACACTATAATAATCAGGCAGCATAGTGTATGAAGGATCAGACTTAAATCAGCTTTACTACTAGAAGTCCAACTTAACGAGGAGCACTTGTCTCTATAAACCAACAGCTGTTGAGTGAACTTAATCTCAAGTATGTCTACTGAAGTTCACTTCCACTGACCCGCTACTAAATGTTTACCGTTATAACTAACGGACTAATTGAACAAACTATTCAGTACTAGTTCAGTTAACTTACAGTTCATAACATAACAGTGGTCACTCATATTTTTATGTTGAAGAAGTTCATATTTGGTATAGTGCATTGATTTTGTTACGGTGTAATGTAGAAAGATTTCCATGATGACAGCAGCGCGACTGCAGAGAACTCAACCAATGACCTACACACACACGCACACAATTGAAATGTCCCAAGGATAGAGATTTATGGAAGGGTAGAGAGTAACACCAGACTATCTCTGAGCATACAGACTTGTGTCAGACATGAGAAGGGAAGAAAGCATTTGAGTCCTAATGGGCAATTAGTAATTACCTGGATACACACACAGACATATTGCGATGTACTACTCACAATATTGCATTTTCCAACATTTATGAGTCACCGAGTCAACGCTCCTCAGCTTTAGGTGGAGTCCCAAGCAAGTTGAGTCTTTACAGTCGCAAGTCTACAACTCTGGTATTTAGTAATGTACTGTGTATAAGTCATGACATCTGTATGAGGGTGGATATAATCATAAAGCACATTGTGTACTCTTATGTATGTGTACACTTTACAACACATGTTGTTTTAACAACATTTTGTATGTAGTAGCAGAAGTGGGAGTACCAGTAGCAGTAGTAGTAATAATAGTAGTACTGGTAGTTACAGTAGCAACAGCAGTAGTAGCATTAGCAGTAGTAATAGTTGTAGTACCAGTAGCAGTAGTAGCATTAGCAGTAGTAGAGGTAGTAGTAGAAGTAGAGGTAGTAGTAGAAGTAGAAGTTGTAGTAGCAGTAGCAGTATAGGTAATAGCAGAAGCAGTAGTAGCAGCAGTAATACTACGACTGTGTAATGTTAAACCTACCAATAGTCTGGTTGATGGTCTCGTGTTTAGCCAGGCTCATTAGGAAGCTGTAGTAAGAGACTTTGTTGGTCTGTTCAAGTACTTCCCTCATACAGGACCTGGGAGGATGACTTCACACAGGAACACAAACACTACAGGGTCAGATCAGTCTCAATATTAATGAATGCACACAGAAAGATTCACAAATGTATTTTGTGATTAAGGACTCACGCCACAAAAATATTTTTCAATGCACAAAGAAATAGTTATCATTATATGTAAGTAAGTAAGTAAAATGTATTTATAAAGCGCTTTTCACAGACATAAGTCACAAAGTGCTTAAGGAGAAGAATTACAAACAAAAAGCACAATATGACCATATAAGGGCCAATCATTTACATTAAAATGCACAAAAACAGAAACATGGTTTAAAAGCAGGCCTAGGTCAGGAGTTGTTACCCAAATGCCAGTCTAAACAGGTGTGTCTTGAGCTGATTTCTGGATGAGTTCACAGAAACAGCAAAGCGTAGGGTGCAGGGACAGACAGATAACAGACAGATCATTTAACATGTTTGACCTGAGAGCGCGGACGGGTGAATATGTGTGAAGTAGTTCAGTCACATATGTAGGAGCCTGACCATGTAGTGCTCTGTAAGTGAGAGTGAGGATTTTAAAGTGGATCCTTAAAAGCTACAGGGAGCCAGTGGAGAGATCTGAGTATGGGGGTGATGTGAGACCGTCGATTTGTCCTGGTGAGTAATCTGGCGGCAGCGTTTTGGATTCCCTGCAAGCGGTTAAGAGCAGCTACACTGAGTGATGAGAAAAGAGTGTTACAGTAGTCAATGCGTGAAGAGATGAATGTGTGTATGATCATCTCTAGTTCAGGTGTTGATACTACAGATCTCAGTTTACTGTTATTTCTTAGGTGGAAGAAACATGATCTGGACAGCTGCTTAACATGGGGCTCAAACGACATGGATCGATCAAAGAAAATCCCCAGATTACACAGGTTGCAATGGGCAGCAGAGGAGAGTGGACCAATACTCTGCCTGATCATGGGGACAACTTCATCTGGTGCAATAACCAGAACCTCCGTCTTACTGTCGTTAAGTTGAAAGCAGTTTTCTGCCGTCCAGTCTCTGATGGCATTGACACAGTCCAGGAGCCTAGTTAATGTGAAGGCCTCGCTGGGTTTGAATGACAGATGGAGTTGGATATCATCTGCATATGAATGATAGGACACATTGTAACTTTTTATAATTGGTCCCAAAGGTAACAGATAAAGGGAAAATAACAGAGGCCCCAGAACCGAGCCCTGCGGTACACCACAAGACAGTGGAGAGGTAACAGACACAAAATCACCCACAGAGACATTAAAAGTTCTGTCATTGAGGTAAGATGTAAACCAGTCTAACGCTATGCCAGATATGCCAACCCAATCACGTAGCCTCTTAATCAGGATGTTATGGTCTACAGCAGGGGTCCGCAACTGGCGGACCACGGTCCGGATCCGGACCCAGACACCGTTGTATCTGGACCCAGGACCTAAAACCGATAGATAATTCGGAATTATTCATCTCAGACAGTGAATTTATATTTTAACTGGCGCAACTTATTCAGCCGTTACGGCACTTGTTCAGCGGTGCAGGAAACACACCGACCAATGCGTTGTAAATCACATCACGTGATGCAGCTCGGCCAATCAAATATGAGTATTCTGACAAGTTTCCTGACTCGAGCGAGGTTTACACACACCATGACACACGGGGGAGAGATGAGGAAATAGAAGGAAGAGCAGGAGAATTGCGCTGATCAGAGAAGTTATCTCACATGACGTTCTCCAAAAAGAGAAACGTGTTCAGAGAGAATATAATTTATAAGCAAGAATGAACAGAATCTTATGTTAATTCTTCCCACAGACAGTTAAATCCAGCATCATATGTTCAGAAACCGTAACTATTGATAAAAGCGGCAAATGAAGCGCACTACGAGACAAAGCACAAATCTTTTGAACAAACATACCACATCTGAAATGAAGACACAGAAAATAAATCTAAGAGCCCAAAATGATCAGAATCCTAACACGTTAATTCACTGTTCAACAATGATGTTAACAGAGAGAATAGAGTTGAAACAAGTGGTTTAATAACCACAGATAAAGTCCATGCTCACTGATTTATCTTTTTACAAGACAAAAATATAATATTGTGGCTTTTTTATTGACATCACTTCACACCTGAGGAACTGAATTTAAAGCTGCATGACAATTCAGTGAAATTAATTTTTCTAAAATGAATTACTTTATTTTAAGATGCACATTTTTCAAAAGCTTTCTGTTTTGTCAGTTATTCTTTATTCCAGTCCTTATTTTACTTGAAATGAGAAGAACATTTATTTATGTATTTCTATGTATTATT